TGTTTATCAGATTAAGGATATGCCCTCCTCTTCCTATGTGATGTGTTTTTATGATGAATGGATCTTGAATTTTGTCAGATTCTTTGCCTGCATCAACTGATAGGATTATATGCTTTTTTTTCATTATGTTAATATGGTAGATTACATAGACTGATTTTCAGTATTCCATTCCTGGCATAAACATCACTTGGTTATGTTGTACTGTTTTTTCTATATGTTGTTAGTTTAGGTTTGCTAGTATATTATTGAAGATTTCTGTGTTTGAGTTGAAGAGAAATATTTTGTCAATATTACGATATTTTCAAAGAATTATCCTTGAGTTTCATTGACCGTCTGTATTTTTTTCTGTTTTCAGTTTTATTGATTAATCATGATTTTTATTTTCCTTTTTCCATCTAGAGTTATTTTGTGTTTTTTTTAGTTCTTGAGGTGGAAAATACAGATCATTCGAGATCTTTTTTACTTATAAAACCACTTAAAAGTATAAATTTACCTCTAATCACTGCCTTAGTTACATTCCACAAACTTTTATTTATTGGGACTTTTCATTTTCATTCAGTTCCAGATATTTTCTAATTTTCTTTTTGACATCCTTTTTGATCCATGTGCTATTTATAAGTGTGTTGTTTAACTTCCAAGTGTTTGGAGATTTTGTATCTTTTTGTTATTGAGTCCTTGTTGAAATCCATGTGGTCAGAGAATATAATTTATATGATTTCAATGATTTTAATTTGGTAATGTTTTAGGATATGGTAGTTCTTTCTTAAGATATAGTTTTGATATAAGACACAGCCTATTTTGGTAAATGATCTACAGGATTTGAAAATACTTGTATTCTGTTGTTGGATGGTAGTGTTTTCAAAATGTATATTAATTATTTACTGGTGTTTGATTTTTGTATATACTTACTAACTTTCTATTGGTTACTGAGAAAGGGGTTTTGAAGTCTCCAACTACAAGTGTGTGTTTGTTCATTTTACCTTTCAGTTCTATGAGTTTTTGCATCATCTAGTTTGAAATTCTACTGGTATGTATTATAAGCAAACACATTTAGGATTGGTGTGTCTTCTTGCTGACATGACCTTCGATTATATGCAATTTCCCTCTTTATCCCTGGTCATTTTACTTGATCTGATACAAATTTTTTTCCTCAGAATATATCCACTACAGTTTTGTATTGATTAGTGTATATATGGGATATCTTTTTATATTCTTTTACTTAAAAAAACTTTATAGTGATAAAATATACATACCATTTACATTTTAACCAATTTTAAGTATACAATTTTTTTTAAATTAAATTTAATTTTATTTAAAATTAAATTTAATTAAAATAAAATAAAGTAAATTAAGTATACAATTTACTAGTGTTAAGTACATTCACAATGTTGTGCAACAATCACCACCACATCATTCCAAACAGGGTCTCTGTACCCATAAGACATTAATTCCCCATTCTTCCATCCCCACAACCCCTGGTGCATATTTTACTTTCTAAGAATTTGCTTATTTTGGTACTTCATGTACATGGAATTATATAATATTTGTCCTTTTGTGTCTATTTCACTTAGAAAAATGTTTTCAAGTCTCATCCAAGTTGTAGCATGTATCAGAATTTCACTCCTTTAAGGGCTGAATTGTATTCCATTATTTGTATATACCAATTTTGTTTATTCATCTGTTGTGGGCATTTAGGCTGTTACCAGTCTGTTGGCTATTGTGAATAATGCTGCTCTGTACTTTGGTATACAAGTATTTATTTAAATAATGCTTTTTGATATATAGTGAGAAGTAGAATTGCTGTATCATAAAATAGTTTTATGTTCAGCTTTATAATAAACCACCAAACTGTACTACATAGTGGCCATATCATCTTATATTCTCTCAAGCAATGTACAAGTGTTCCAATTTCTCCAACATGCTCACCAACACTTGTTATTTTCTTATTTTTTAATAATATTCTAATGAATGTGAAGAAGTGGGATCTCATTGTGATTTTAATTTTGATTTACTTAATGGCTAGTGATGTTGAGATAGTTTCCTGTGTTCACTGGCCATTTGCATATATTCTTTGGAGAGATGCCTGTTCAAGTCCTTTATGCATTTTAAGAATTATCTTTAAAAAATTGTCTTTTAGTGGTTGCTGAGTTATAGTAGTTCTTTTTGTATTCTGGATATTAATCCCTTACCAGATATATGTTTTGCAATTATTTTCTCCCATTCTGAGGGTTGCCTTTTTACTTTCTTGATAGTGTCTTTTACTGAAAAAAAGTCTAAAATGTTGATTAAGCCAAATTTATCTATTTTTCCTTTTGTTGCCTATACTTTGGTGTCATATTCATGTAATTGACAAATCAACTGTCACGAATCTTTTTCTGTAAAATTATAGTTTTAGTTCTTATATTGAGACCTGTTATCTGTTTTGAATTAATTTTTGTATCTGGTGTAAGGGTCCAATTCCATTCTTTTGCATTTGGAGATCCAGTTTTCCCAGCACTATTTATTGAAAAGACTGTTCTTTCTTTATTAATGATCTTGGTTCTCTTGTCAAAAATAATTAACCATATATGTGATAATTTATTTCTCAACTCCATTTGATTCTATTTTTCTGTATATCTATTCCCATGCTAGTGCCACACTTTTAATTATGGTAGCTTTGTAATAAAATCTGAAGTCAAAAAGTGTGCTTTTCCAACTTTATTCTTTTTTTTTCAAATTATTTTGAAAGTCCATATGAATTCAAAGATAGATTTTTCTTTTTATGCAAAATCATTGTTGAGATTTTTATAGAGATTACATTAAATCTATAGATGGCTTTGGGTAATATTGTCTTTTTTTTTTTTTTTTTTTTTTTTTTTTAGTATTGTCATCTTAACAATATAAAATCTTCTGGTCCATGAATGTGGGATGTCTTTTCATTTATGTATGTGTTCTTTAATGTATTACAGGAATGTTTTATAGTTTACAATGTATAAGTCTTTTCTATCCTGATTACATTTTTTTCTTAAGTACTTTATTATTTTTAATACTCTTTTAAATGGAATTATTTTCTTAATTTCCTCTTCAGATTTCTCATCATTAGTGTATAGAAATGCAGCTGATTTTTGCATGTTGATTTTATAACTTACAGTTTTTCTGAATGTCTTTGATATCTAACATTTTTATGGAATATTTAGGGTTTTTATATATAAAATTTTGTCATCTGTGAACAGAAATCATTTTACTTCTTCCTTTCCAGTTTGGACTTTTTTTGTTTGTTTACTTCTCTAAATGCTCTGGCTAGAACTTAAAATAGAAGTTGAATTGGAGGTAAACCATATTTGACACTAATGATAATGATAAAATGATATATGTCAGGCAGTAAGCTAAGTCATATTCATGTTCCTATTTATAGGGTAAAAAAAAAATAGGTATTATCAACCCCATTTTAGAGAAAAGGAGAATGAAGCAGAAACTAAATAAGTTGCATGAGACCACATATCTAAAACATGAGAGACCTGTAGTTTGAATCAGATGTGTGTGACTTCAAAAACTACATAATGTCCTATATACTTTGCCTTTATGTCAATTACACAAGCAGTTCCATTAATGTATTTTCCAAATTTATGTATTTTTCATTTGCTCTGATTTATTATATATATATATGTTTATATATATACATATATACAATATATGTATTTTTCATTTGCTCTGATTTATTTCAAAGGAAGGAGATTTACCTAACCAAAATTTACATTTTGTGGTTATTTGAAATTTTAAATATTTGCTGCGTGTAATAAGACTGAATGTTAAAATCTTTAATTAGAGCAGATGAATGCTCTATTCTTCCAAAACTGTGATAAAATCAATCAAAAGTAGTCATGGGTAACTTTTGGAGTTTGCATCATAAATGACAAATCAGCTACACAGAAAATCCAAAAGATTCTTTAGGCTCAACTTGTATATTTTATCTGAATTACTAATTAAAACCAGACAGAGTACCTATATTTGTGTGATGATCCATAAAAAATGAAAACAAGTAATTTTGTATTTGTCTTTTAAGAGAAAATACACCATTAGAAGAAAAAGCATAGGACAGCATCCTTCCTGGCTTATACCAAAAATGATCCTATATATATGAAAGAACTATAATTGCACAAGATGTACAGAGCACTGGTTTGGCAAGAAGATCAATCCTGTACTCTGGTGTATGACTGTGACTCAAATTTCCTTATCCTTTCCATAGTTTTATACTCACTCTTTCACTTAACATTCTTTTCTTTCCTAAAATACTTGCTTCCTTGTTCAGCACTTTTCCAAAAGTCCCAGGAAGTTAGCAGCAGCAAAAAGCTCACTTCTGGAAGAATTATTAACTAGTTCAGGAGTTAGCTGATCAAAAAAACAACAGCAGGAATGACAGTCTTGCTTATAATGAGGCTTTTTAAAGATTCAAGAAAATAAACAGTTCTAATCTGCTAGATTTGCTGTAAATTTCTGATTATCATATATACCTATTTCTGATTATTATGGATAGAGTGTGCTTCCCTGCATACCCTATGTAGAAACAAACCATACATTTAGAAGGCTCTCTGTTAAGCACTAGGTGATATAAATTTGTATAAGATTTGGAAACTTCCAACTATGATTTAAGAGTAGATGAAACATAATAAAACTAGCTTTGTGACATAAGAGCTATTTGACTAATTCAGAATTCTGTAGAAAGAAAAAATTATAATAAGTACTTTTGTCCTGTATTGTGATATAGCTACACAATAACAAAATAAAGAAAGTTGAAACTAAAGTCATTGAAGAGAATTTTTTTAAAAATGGCACAAAAACAAATAAATAACCTAGAGAATTAAGAAAGTCAAATTTAAAATAGAGACAGACTTCTCTCAACTGCTGCTAAAGTACTTACTTGGCCCTTCTAAGGAAGCTAAGGCCACGGTGGGTTGAGGCCCTTACTTCTTCCTATAACAGCATCCAATGCCAGCAGTACCAGCCTGGCACCTGTCTGTACAATGGCCTCCATCTTAGAGCTTACCTGCATTTACTTGACCTTCATCCTGCATGATGATGAGGTGATTCAGGTCAGGGGAAATAAGCTGAATGCCCTCATTAAATCACCTGGTGTAAATGTTGACCCTTTCTGTTTGAGCTTATCTGAGAAGTCTCTAGCCAATATCAACATCAGGATCCTCATATGGAATGTTGGGGCTAGTGGGTCTGCCCTGGTAGCTGGTGCTGCCCCAGCAGGAGGTCCTGTTCCCTCCATCACTGTTGCCCCAACTAAGAAGGAAGTGGAAGCAAAGAAAGAAGAATCTGAGAAATCTGATGATGACATGGGCTTTGGTATTTTTACCACACTTCTTCTGTGACTTGTTCAGTAAAAAGCTGAACTCTTGGGGAGAGGGGAGTAGGAGTGGTAGAGACAGAATTCACAAGCGACATAAAAAGAAAATAGGTTCTTCATTTAAGAAGAAAATTACCTGGCAATGAATGAGTAGGAAATATTAGAATAGCATCTAACATTGAAAATATGGGAGTTTAAATACTGTAATAGGGTCACAGGTAGGATTTTTTTATCTTTTGAGCAAAAATAAATAATGTGAAACTTTAAGAAAGAACATCATACATCCACATCCTTTTCATCAGACCCATGTTGGGAAAGGATTTGCAAATTCAGACTATGAGATGGAAAAGAGACAAAATCGTAAACCAAAAACTTGTCACAACCCACGACATGACTGGTAATAATAGTGGTAGCATAAGCTATACCAATATAAATAATAGTGAATGCTGTGTTATTGAAAGCATTCAAGCAGAACTTAAGTGACTATATGTCACTACATTTCAGGGTGTCACAGAGAGTAAAAAATTAGAATAAGTAAATGACTTTTAAGCTTTATTTTAAACCCGAGATATTATTTTTCTATAATGGTAGTCTTCTTTGTTTATATTGTTTTTCCTGATTCTGTTTCCCTAGTTATAAAATTTCATCTATTTGTCTTTGTTGTAAATATTAATTGCAAAATCTATCACTGTGCCTGAATTTACTACTACATGTTGTTTACTGTAGTGAAAATTATGACTAAGGAAATACAAAGAGTAAAAAACATCCTCTCAAGAGATAACATCTCATGAAATATGCAGCTTGTGTCAAAATTTCATGCCATTATAATTTTTTTCTTATTACAGAATTAAAATATATTCTTTGTAGAAATTTAGAATTCAAATGAAATATAAATCATACTGTGAGCTAAGGAAGGAAAGCATTTTTTTAAAAACTCTTCTCCCTCCCTCCCCTTTCATTTTTTGAACAGAGGATTAATGTTATAAGCTATATGGTCTGGAATGCTGCTAGGGCATACTTTTTAGTGTCCAGAATCACTGTATTTTTAAAAGTTAAATACACCTTCTGTCATGTAAGGACATAGTGAGAAGACAGGCATTTTGTGAGCCAGGAAGTAGGCCCTCACCGGATTCCAAATCTGCCAGCACCTTGATCTTGGACTTCCTAGCCTCAGGAACTGTGAGTGAATGACAAGATAGAAAAACTTGCCTCAGAAAAGAGAACAAGAGGAAGTACTGACTGCCAGGGACTAATCAGTATGGACATAAATAACATGTCAGAACTAGAGTTCAGAATAATGATTATAAAGATACTAGCTGGGGTTGAAAAGAGCATAGAAGACACTAGAGAATCCCTTTCTGGAGAAATTAAAGAACTAAAATCTAATCAAGTCAAAATTAAAAAGGCTATTAATGAGATGCAATAAAAAATGGAGGCTCTGTCAGAGAGGATAAATGAGGCAGAAGAGAGAATTAATGATACATATAAGAAAAATGATGGAGAATAAAGTAGCTGAAAAAAGAGAGAAAAAGCTACTGGATCACAAGGGTAGAATTTGAGAAATAAGTGATACCATAAAGCAAAACAAATTAGAATAATTGGGAACACAGAAGAAAAAGAGAGAGAGGGAGGGAAGGAGAAGGTATTTGAGCAAATTATAGCTGAGAACTTCCCTAATCTAGGGAAGGAAACAGGCATTTAAGTCCAGGAGACATAGAGAATACACCTCAAAAATCAATAAAAATAGGTCAATACCTTGACATATAATAGTGAAGCTTGCAAATTTCTGAGACAAAAAGAAAATACTGAAAGCAGCTCAGGACAAGAGGCCCTTAACCTACAAGGGTAGAAATGTTAGATAGGCAGCAGACCTATCCACAGAGATTTGGCAGACCAAGAAGGACTGGTGTGATATATTCATGGTGCAAAATGAGAAAAATTTGCAGCCAAGAATACTTTATCCAGCAAGGGTGTCATTCAGAATGGAAGGAGAGATAAAGAGCTTACAGGACAAACAGAAACTTAACAAGTTTGTGATCACTAAACCAGCCCTACAAGAAGTATTAGAGGGGATCCTTTAAGTGAAGAAAGAACCCAAAAGTAACATAGACCAGAAAGAAACATTGACTTTACAGGTAATACAATGGCACTAAATTCATATCTTTAATTACTCTGAATGTAAATGGGCTAGATGTCCCAATCAAAAGGCACAGGTTATCAGTTTGGATAAAAAAGCAAGACCCCTTGATATGCTGTCTGCAAGAGACTCATTTTAGACCCAAACACATCTCCCGATTGAAATTGAGGGGGTGGAAACCCATTTATGATGGTAATGGACATCAAAAGAAAGTTGGGATAGCAATTCTTATATCAGACAAATTAGATATTAAACCAAAGACTATAATAAGAGATGAGGAAGGAAGGATACTATATCATAATTAAAGGGTCTATCCAATAAGAAGATCTAACAATTGTAAATGTTTATGCCCCTAACATGGGAGCAGCCAATTATACAAACCAATTGATAAGAAAATTAAGGAAACACAATGATAATAATACAATAAGAGGAGGGGACTTTAACACCCCATTCACTGCAATGGACAGGTCATCTACGTAGAAGATCAAGAAGGAAACAGGGGCTTTGAATAACACAGACCAGACAGACCAGACAGACATCAAAACCAGACAAAGAGCCCACCAAAAAGGAGAATTACAGACCAATATCCCTGATGAATATGGATGCAAAAATTCTCACCAATAACTAGCCAATAGGATCCAATAGTACATTAAAAGTTTTATTCAGTGTGACCAAGTAGAATTTATTCCTGAGCCACAAGTGTGGTCCAGCATCTGCAAATCAATCAGTGTGATACACTACATTGATAAAAGAAAGGACAAGAACCATATGATCCTCTCAATAGAGGCAGAAAAAACATTTAACAATATAGAGTATCCTTCCTTGATTAAAACTCTTCAAAGTGTAAGTATAGAGGGAACATACCTCAATATCATAAAAGCCATCTACAAAAAGCCCACAATGAGTATCATTCTCAATAGAGAAAAACTAAAAGCTTTTCCCCTAAGGTCAAGAACATGACAGGGATGTCCATCTCACCAACTGTAGTTCAGCATAGTACTAGAGGTCCTAGCCTCAGCAATCAGACAACAAAAAGAAATAAAGACATCTGAATCAGCAGAGAAGTCAAGCTCTCACTCTTTGCAGATGACATGATGCTCTATGTGAAAAACCCAAAAGACTCCATCCCAAAATTTCTAGAACTCATAGAGGAATTCAGCAAAGTGTCAGGATATAAAAATCAAAGCACAGAAATCAGTTGCATTTCTATACACTAACAATAAGACAGAAGAAAGAGAAATTAAGGAGCCGATCCCATTTACTACACCCAAAACCATACAATACCTAGGAATAAACCTAACCAAAGAGGCAAAGGATCTGTTCTCTGAAAACTATGGAATACTCATGAAAGAAATTGAGGAAGACACAAAGAAATGGAAAAATGTTCTGTGCTCATAGATTAGAAGAACGAATATTATTTAAAATGTCTATGCTACCTAGAGCAATCTAAACATCCAATGCAATCGCTACAAAATACCATCAACTTTTTTCACAGAGCTAGAACAAATAATCCTAAAATTTGTATGGAACCAGTAAGACCCCAAATAGGCAGAGGAATGTTGAAAAAGAAAACCAAAGCAGGTGGCATCACAATGCTGGACTTCAAGCTCTATTACAAAGCTGTAATCATCAAGACAGTGTGGTGCTGGCACAAAAACAGACACATAGATCAGTGGAACAGAATAGAGAACCCAGAAATAGACTCTCAACTCTATGGTCAACTAATCTTTGACAAAGCAGGAAAGAATATCCAATGGAAAAAAGATAGTCTCTTCAACAACTGATGTTGGGAAAATTGGACAGCCACATGCAGAAGAATGAAACTTGACCATTTCCTTATACTGTACACAAAAATAGGCTCAAAATGGATGAAAGACCTCAATGTAAGACAGGAATACATCAAAATCCTAGAGAAGAACACAGGTAGCAACCTCTTTGACCTCAGCCACAGCAATTTCTTGCTAGACACATCTCCAAAGGCAAGGGAAACAAAGGCAAAAATAAACTATTGGGATTTCATCAAAATAAGAACCTTTTGCACAGCAAAGGAAACAGTCAACCAAAAGACAACTGACAGAACGAGAGAAGATATTTGCTGATGACATGTTAGATAAAGGGCTAGTACCCAAGATCTATAAAGAACTTCTCAAACTCAACACCCAAAGAATAAATAATCCAATTGAGAAATGGACAGAAGATGTGAACAGACATTTCTCCAAAGAAGCCATCCAAATGACCAACAGGCACATGAAAAAATGCTCAACAGCACTCATCATCATGGAAATACAAATCAAAACCACAATGAGATACCTCCTCACACCAGTCAGAATGGCTAAAATTAACAAGTCAGGAAATGAAAGATGTTAGAATGTAGAGAAAGGGGAACCCTCTTACACTGTTGGTAGGAATGCAATTTGGTGTAGACACCATGGAAAACAGTATGGAGGTTCCTCAGAAAGTTGAAAATAGGGGCACCTGAGTGGCTCAGTCGGTTAGGCATCTGCGTTCAGCTCAGGTTATGATCCCAGGGTCCTGAGATCAAGCCCCACATCAGACTCCCTATTGAGAGCCTGCTTCTCCCTTTTCTGTCTGCTGTTCCCCCTGCTTGTGCGTGCTCTCTCTCTCTCCTTCTCTCCATCAAATAAATAAATAAAATCTTTTTTAAAAAGTTGAAAATAGAGCTACCCTATGACCCAGCAACTGTACTACTAAATATTTACCCCAAAAAAACAAATGTAGTGATCCAAAGGGGCACCTGTACTCCAGTGTTTATGGCAGCAATGTCCACAATAACCAGACTATGGAAAGAGCCCAGATATCCATCAAGAGATGAATGGATAAAGAAGATATGGTATGTAGATAGATATATATATATATCTACACACATA